TATAGGGGGAGCTGGAGGCAGCTCCTTATGCAAAGGAACACTTAGCCCTGCTCGGTAGGGTAGTCGTGTTAGAACATTTTGCCTCAGTGGAAATGGTAGGTTGCTGTCACCACGGCCAAGTGTAGGTGTTGACCATTTGTGATGTGGCAGTGTAACTGGAAATGTGTGGAAATGTGTTTCCTGTTTGTGAACTGAAGTGTCTATAGGTAGAGAGCAGGGGCTGGCAGCAGATGCTTGGGACCAGAGCGAGAGCTGCCTTCCAGAGCGCTAACATGCCTCAGTTTCTCCTGGCCTCCCACACCACAGACGGGCAGGTTGGCTTGCTTTGCTTTGTTTTAAGGAAAGACAATTCTCCGTTTCCCTCCAGCTGCTCCTGACACACATTGGGAACTATTGCCCACTTCAGTTACACGGCATCAAGATGTTTCCCAGATGCTTACTGATCCCGTTTTTTGACCGTAGGATTCATAAATAAATGTTGTCTAATTAGATTTTTTGCTTTATCCACTTCTTCCTGTCTTCCCTTCTCTCAGGTTACACTCTCCTTTAAGATGCACGTTTTAGCCATGTTTATGAGCAAAGCTGAAAAACAGTACAAACCGAAAGCCTTAACTTGCACAGCTTAGTGACACTAAGTTTTCGTGGAGTAGACCAACCAAGATAAGAAATAAATAACACTTAGCCTAAATTGTAGTGCTAATGTCGGGCCAGTGCGATGGTGCAGAGGGTAAATAAAGGTGCCTGCCGCCGAGCCTGACAGCTGGATGTCCGTCCCCTGGACCCCTGGCAGTAGCAGGACAGGACAGATGCCCACCAGCCATCCTCTGACCTCCACATATGTGCCATCGCGCACACACCACAGACAAATGAAATGTAACTTTAAAGATTTCTAAAAGGTTTGTGGTCATGAAAATGTCAAAATTTATTCAGGTTCATGAGAAGGAGGCGTATATTTTCAAATAAAATACTTCCAAAGTAAAAAAAAAAAAATTGATGGAGCTTATTCTTACAATTAAGTATAATCAAAACTTAAATCGTACTTAAATATTTTCTGGGATGGTACAGAAACTTGAAAGATAGAAAAAGGAAGCATATCTCTGTTTTTGTAGTCTTTGCTTAGCAAAAGGATACAAAGAGACTTTATCTGCTGCTCAGATGTAAATTGAAGAACTCACTTAATTACAAATGGCTGTTGTCTTAAAGAAGTTGTGTGTTCCATGATAGATTTACACACTGACAGATGCAGCTCTGGACTCAGGCTCTTGTCCTGTTCTGTTGTGTCTTAGGTTTTCCGGTCGCTGTGATGAAGCACCGTGACCAAAAAGCAGGTTGGGGAGGAAGAGGTTTATTTGGCTTACACTTCCGCATTGCTGTTCATCACTGAAGGAAGTCAGGGCAGGAACTTAAACGGCAGGAACCTGGAGGCAGGAGCTGATGCAGAGGTCATGGAGGGGTGCTGCTTACTGGCTTGCTCCACATGGCTTGCCCAGCCTGCTTTCTTATAGAACCCAGGACCACCAGCCCAGAGATGGCCCCACCCATCATGGGCTGGGCCCTCCCCCATTGATCACTAATTGAGAAAACGCCTTACAGCAGGATCTCATGTAGGCATTTCCTCAGCTGAGGCTCCTTCCTGTGATGACTCTGTGTCAAACTGACACACAAAACCAGCCAGCACATGTTATCATAGAACTATTTTTCCTCATGATATTAAGTCTCCTTTAAAGACTTGAATGTATTTAAAGATGTGCGTCTCCATGAACACAGTGGTAATCTCTTGAGAACCTGCTGTCTGCTGGTGCTGCCATGCTGGTGGTGTCCACAGAGTTGTGGAACTGGGACATTCAGGAGCCATCATGAAATCTGCCGTCACTCATCCCCACCCAGTTCATTCTTACCGCATCTCTCCTCTGCCCCTGGCCCTGAGTCTCACCCTGACTCTTGAAGCATCCTCCTGACTACACTGGGGCGTCCACTGCTCCATCCCCTACAGGGCAGCTGTCACGATTGTTTTTAATACCATTATGTTGTTGGGCCTCAAATGATGCATTTCAAATGAAACTGCCATCATCCGCTGGCTACACCTGCGACACACTTTGCTACCTCTGTAGCTTTGGAAAGAGCACTGTTCTTTAGGACCGCTCTTACAAGCCTTAATAAAGCAGAAGGTGTCTCTCTTGTGTTAGTAGACAGAGCAGGGTCTGGTGTGGTCGGATTTTAGCTCTCAGAGCACTAGACCACCATCTGTGCATCTCCAGCATCCTAATTGAGTTTCCAGTTCATGGTCTACAGTTCCTGCGCTGACTAGCCATCACGTCTGTGTTCCAGACCGGAAGGAAGTAGAAGGAAGGATACATGCTCACCGGGGAGAGCCTAGCCAGAGGCTGCAGGTTTAACTTCCTTGAAATCTAGGGTATGGTTGTTGAGGGGCAATGGGTGTGCATTGAGAGAACCACTTATAAAAAAATTCCTGTTATAAGAAGTAAACCTTCGTATCACAAATGGGAATTTAAAAAAAAAAAAAATGTCTGCAATGGAAAGAATTAACAAATAACACCTGGGCTTTCTCTCCGACTTTGGAGGCAGAGAGTCAAAGAGGTAGATGAGATCATTGATGGTAGCTGCCTCTGGAAGGCAGGAGCGGGCCAAGGGAAGCTGAGCACTGCTGCCTGACTTCCCGTGAAGAACAGCGTGTATACTTTGATAAAGAGCCTTAACGCCTCAGCTGAGGCCAGACCTGTGACTCTTTATCATCAGGACCACAGGCGTTGTCTTGTTGTCCCGCTTTGTCTGCTGTGTTTGCGTGTTTGGTATCTGCAGAGATGAAGATATGCCTGTGCATACTGTCTGAGGATCAGGCTCGAGACATTTGGCCTCAGGTAGTTCATTTCCCCACTTTTTCGATTGTTAAATTTAAAAATGTCGATGAGAAATGAAATATCTCTGAGCCAGCTGGTTTACAAGCAGGTCTGAGGGAATGGGCAGCAGCATTCAGCACTTAAAGCCCTTCCCATCCATGGGTGCTTTGCGGAGGAAGAAACCACACAGTCTAGGAACAGACTGCCTAATCGAAATAGGACACAAGGGCCCAGAACAGGGGGAAGAGGGAAATGCAACCTGGGGCCATGAAATCCAAGAAGCTTAAGAAATAATTCTGTGCTCATCAGAAAAGAACCAAACAAAAGATTACCTGGTTTTCATGAGGAGTGAGTGCATTAGGTCTTCTTAGAACTGCCAGGCAGTGGGACCGGGACCCATCCTTGAAGCATGAGCTGGCTTTTTGGAACCTAGGGCCTATGCTGAGACACTTTGCTCAGCCTTGGTGCAGGGAGGAGGGGACTGGACCTGCCTCAACTGAATCTACCAGACTGTGCTGACTCCCCAGGGGAGTCCTTGCCTTGGAGGAGGGGCGTGGATTGTGGGGGAAGGCTGGGGGGTGGGAGGAGGGAAGACAGGGGAATCTGTGGCTGATATGTAAAATTAAATTAATTATAAAATAAAAATATTTTTTAAAAAAAAAACTGTGAGGCATAAGAGATTTTGTTTGTTAACTGTTTAAGACAAAAGGGGCTGAGGATCGAGAAGCCAGGATCCAAAGAGGAAAACAGTCACCGGACTTGAATTCAGTCACTGTATTCTCGCAATATGGTCATGTCATTATCTGGCATTACTTAATTGAGGCGGCAGTGGGAATAAGGGAGAGTGGAAGGGCCACGGCTTAAGTGGATTGCCAGCAGGTGCGTGAGGTGGGTGGCGATGAAGCCCATGAAGGACCTGACTCTGGAAGAAGCTCTTGACGTTGATCACTTGTGAAAAGGAGATTTTTTTTCCTCCCCACCTACGTGGTTCTGTACACTTGTCTACAGACCTTGAGCAGCATCGTTCCATCTGCTCATCAACTTTGGAATTACTAACACCGTGCCACTTTGAAAGAGCAGACAAGGTTATTAACTTTGGCAGGAAATGAAAATTTGGCCTTAATATACATGTGAAATTGAATTGTCTGTAACACAAAGCTTTGGAGATTACCCATGCAAAATGAGGAAAGTATCTGAATTTAAAATTGTCCTCAGTACAGTGAAAAGTAATTCTGCAGACTGCATTTTTACTGCACTGAAATCCATGAAGAGATTGGCTCTATTAATTTAGATTTAAACATAGGCTGTGTGTCTTCTAAAAATGGTAAATGAGATGGAAAATGTACTTTACAGGGAAAAAATGTTTCTGGAAATGCTTTAGGCAGGCAGACTCCCTTGGCTGTGTCTCTGACTGCTTCCCACTGAGCCGGCTTCAGAGGGGAGCTGTCTCCTGTGACAAGCACTCAGAATAAGGACACACAGACACTGCCTCAGTTACTCGGTAGGCTTTAGGGGAAGACAGGAGCAAGGCCGGTGGGGACCACAACAAAGTCACTGGCACCTCTTACGTCAGTCTCCAAAGTAGCATGGTAGCAGAGGAGGCAGCCCTTGGCAGGAAAAAAGTATTAGAAGACTTGAGTGTATTTTCGCAAACGTCCAGTGCCTGCCTGCAAGGAAACCAGAGTGTAGGATTTGATGATACAAACTAGCTTCTCACACACACACAAAAAATTACTTTTTGTTTAAAGAGAAGTTAGCTTTTTCATCCCTTGCTCTGAATTGCTTTATGTCACAATAATAATATATCTTGTTCATCATTAAGTTCTGTTCATTAAGAAGCTATCGACCAAAAACGATTAGTGATGGTCATTGTGTCTGTGTATGTGTCTCTCTCTTGGACAAGTCTTAAAAAGTCTTTATTACTTAATAGAATTTTAACAGTGAGGAACACAAAGACAACCGATTCCCTCTGCCTTTCTCTTAGAGCTGATTCATAGTAAGCAGCTGGGGCTAGAAAGAAAGGCACCTAACTTGCAGATGATTTCACATAGCTTATCACATTCCACCCAGAAGAGCGGGTCCCACCGGATGAACACAGTGAGTTGCCCGTCCTCACCTCTCCTCTCCCTCCTTGTGTTCCAGGCATTGCTGTGCTCTACTTACACCTCTATGATGTGTTTGGGGACCCTGCCTACCTGCAGATGGCCCATGGCTATGTAAAGCAAAGTCTCAACTGTTTGAGCAGGCGCTCCATCACCTTCCTGTGCGGCGATGCAGGTCCCCTGGCTGTGGCTGCTGTGCTGTATCACAAGATGAACAGTGAGAAGCAGGCAGAGGATTGCATCACACGGTAATCATGTTGCTTTGTGAGGATTGCTACTGAGACATCATTAGGATGCTGCACATGCTCATAAAAGAACACTCTACTGAGTTTACTTTTCTCTCAGCAAATGAATCTTCCTCCTGCGTTTGGTCAGTTCTCTTATTCCTGTTATAGTTAAAGAACAGCCTTGTCATCCCTATCTTAGTACAAGATAGAAGACACTGGCATGGTCCAGATCAAGAATCAATTCCCTGGGATCAGAGCCTTGATCGTGGGATGATTGATTCATCGTGCTCCCCAGAATCAGCATTTGAAAAAGGGAAGTGGGTCTCTTCTTATAAGCCAGGGACCAAAAACTAATTCCAGACTGCTATTCTAGCTGGATTGGGTGTACATCTATAATTCCAGCACTCAGAAAGCTAAGGCAGGAAGATCCTGAATTCAAGGCCAGCCTAGGCTACATACTGAGACCATCTAAAATCCAATAAGGATGAGGATGATGATGATGACTGCCTTCCTTGGGAGTAATAACATACAAAGCTAGATTATCATTTTGAATATAACTCATAGCGAACTATGTGCTAGTAACTTTTAAAGAATTGTTAAACTTTTCTACAAATAGACAGCATCTATTGTCTTTGTAAAAGTTACTGAGCACTCTTTGAACTCTCGAGAAGTTTGACTGGCATGCAGGTCCAGATGGGCAGGACTCTTGGGCTCTCACTGAGCAAGTGAATGTCAGCAGGCAGTGTCTCACTCTAGTAGTGTGATCATCCCAGAGTCAGCTGCGGTTTGTATAGCCCCACTATTCTTCCTTATAGTTGCTGCTAGAAATGCATACTTGCCAATTTGTTTGTTGAGGAATCTCTTCATTAATATATTCTGTCCTTCCATATCACTGGGTTTACATCCATAGACTCAGCCTACCATGGATTAGAAGTGTTGGGCAACAAGTTTATGTTGTTATTCCCTAGACAGTGTGACTCTTTACAGAGTACCTTAGGTATAACAGAGATGCTTCAGAGTAGAAGTGAACATGTCCATGGGTTGTAGACTAGTCCCCCATTTTATGTGAAAGATGTGCGTGTCAGTATATTTTAGTGTCTTTCGGGGTGACAGAACCAATCTCCTGGATGCCTAGCAATAACTATATATAGTTTATCAACTGTGTGTATAGTTTATCAACAGGCCTTTTGAACTGTTCAAGTTACAGCTGTTCTACAAAAAAGAAATTATTCATACCTGTGTTACTTAATGTATATATATAACATCTATATATATACATTATAAATATAAAAGAAATCTCTCCAAATTTTGTCCCATACAATGATACTTTCTCATTATAACAATTTTTTTCTTGAAATTATAACCACAGTAGGGAAGCCAAAGAATCTTTTGCTCTACTATAACATTATATGAATTGATATAAGAAATCATTTTCTGCATTGACATTTTTAATACCTAATTGTACTTATAGCTATCAGAAGCCACAAATAATATAGTCCAACTTCAAATGAAGAGTCACATTATCTAGTTATGTATAGAAAAAAAAGCTATAGCAGAGAATCATTTAATATAAAACTACACAAGATTTAGAGAAATCTCAAGCTAGATCCCAGCTAAAAGCTTTCTCCATAGGGGCTGGAGAGATGGCTCAACAGTTAAGAGCACCGGATGCTCTTCCAGAGGTCCTGAGTTCAATTCTCAGCACCCACGTGGCAGCTCAAGACTGTCTGTAATTCTTATTTCAGGTGATCCAATGCCCTCATACAGACATGCATGTAGTAAAACACCAATGTACATAACATAAAAATAAATTATTTAGAAAAAGATTATTGGCTACTACTGTTCTTTAAAAAAAAAAAAAAGCTAGTCCTCATAGTGCTGGAAGATGCTGTACGGGCTGCTAGAGAAATGACATTGTAGTCATACTCAGCTGTGAGCCCTGCGTGTTGTACTACTGTCCTACAGAACAGGACATACAGAATTGGTACAATACATGACCAATAGGGTTATCCAACTGTTTCCCGATTGATTTGAGACCTCCCCACCAGGAGGCGGGTTATGTCTGGTACTGGAAGCCTGGTCAGAAGTCCATGGCTGAGGAGGTCATATGCCCTTTTGGGGAAACTTGGCTAAAAGGACACGATGCCCCGCCAACTGCCTTCTCAATATTTATGGTCATGCCCACAGATCAGTGCTATTGTCAGGCTAGTCAGAGGAAGGAGCTTCTTTTTGCACTGGATGGCTGGCAGTTTCTTTAGAGACTCAAAACTGATCTATGCATTGAAAATATGTTCCTGTTGAGCATTGAGCCCCAAATGGGGCATCATATCGCCCTTCCAATCTCAGAGATTCCCAAGAGAGCAGGAAAGAGCGGGATTCTGCCCAGTGGGTGTGAAGGGCTATTGCTCTCCTGACCTCTCAGCAGCAGTGATTGCCTACAAGAGACCTACAGGACATCAGTCAGGCATGTCAGCTTCCCTTAGTGGAGGGGGAGGAGTCACAGGCCCTACTGGCCTGAGCATCTTCTCAGCGCTCAGTGGCCACTGAGAGCAGGGGGCAGTTTTTCGGTGGTAAAGCAACTAAAATGCCCATGCATTTGTGATGACCCACGCCCACATTCCTGAGGGTAACCTTCATTAAACTGATGGGTTCACAAAAATAAAATAGGAATTTGAAAAAACTGTCACTAGAGGGCTAGATGGTACAAAGCAATAATTTCCCTAAAAGTTGAAGTAACATGTGTTCCTCCCTTGGCAGTTACTGATGTATGACCAGCCAGTGCACTGTGGTTGGACGCTCACTTAAGTCTGAAACACGGAAACTGCCTTTCTTATGTCTTAGTTTTTGCACAGCCAGTTTAAAGCCGTCAGGCATGTGAGGTCCTGAGATAGAATTCTTCAGTATCACTCTGAATTACCATCAAATGACGTCATAGCAGTTCTAGTATGTCACACTCAAGGTCATCTTCCCAAAATACAGTGGCCAAGTAGGGATCTGCTTTGTGAAGAATTTTAATGGGTGGAAACAAGGTGTTGAAACAGATTGGAGTTTGTGCTCAATACTGGTTACACAAAATGAAACGCACACCTCTCCTGTCTTCAGGAGCTCACGTGTAGGGGAAGATCCCCAGCTCTAGGCTGCAGCGTTTTGTTTACAGTAATATACAGACAGCCTCAGATGAGTAAACTGAGATGTGCTTGTTATTTATTTGATAGCTTGGTTATAAACATCTTTTGTGATGTTTTCAAAATTTTATGACATTTCAAGAACATTTTATTTATGGCCAGCAAACTTGTTATGTACAGTTAATACAGAATGTGAGATCAGGCATTGTGGCTCCCATTCATAATCCCTAGCACTTGGAAGGTTGAAAGTTCAAGGCCACTCTGGGCCACATAGTAAGTTCCAGGCTAGCCTGGTCTAGGGTGTAAGATTGTCTCAAAAGAAGAAGTTGTGTGTGTGTCTGTGTGTGTGTCTGTGTGTCTGTGTGTGGTTGTACCTATACTCAAATGTGTATAACGATATGACTGTGCAAGTCATTGTGGCCACAGCTCTGACTGCCCAGCTTCTTGATTTCATGATCCTATCTGGAACTGTACTGCTGGCTTCACTTTCTCCATCTCTTCCCTCTTAGTGGTAAAATTCCTTCAGTCCAGTGTCATTTTATATCGTCAGGTATTGAATCGGTGTGCTTGCTGATTTGGCTTGTTAATGAGCCATCTGCCTAGTGTCACGTCCTCTGGGGGTGTCACACACCCATTTCCTTCAGCAATGTCTTTGCTGTGTTCCACTGGCTGCCCCAGCCAGTTTACCTTTCCAGCGTTTTCTGGGTGTAATGGGCTCTCAAAATCAGAATTTTGAGTTTGAAAGGGCAAACATGCCTTTAATATAAAAAAGTAATGTTTAGACAAAGAAACTGGACTCCCAAGAAATCAGTTTCGTTGGGTTTAGTTCTTAAACTTGCCCCTGAGGATCTTTGGCTCCCAGAAGTAGATGGACCCAGCGAGACGTTTTCAGGATGGAGAGGACTTGCACTGTACCAATGGAGGATGGAAGTCTCTAACTTCCCACAAGGAGCTGAGGGCTTGGAGGGGGTGAATGAGAATCAGTAAATACAAGCGGTCATGCTGTATTGCAGATGGCCTGGGTGAGTGACAGCACCTCTCACTGGTTCTCTGCTGTCTGGTAAATACCCTGTGGAAGTCCAGTCTGCACAGAGCTCTCGGTGTCATAGTACGAGTAGAGAGCATCGCCTGTTTCCCAGTTAGGTCACCGGCCTGACAGATCATAGTTCGCTGAGCCCGGGACTTAGGATGGTCAGGAGACACACACACACACACACACACACACACACACACACACACACACACACACACACATTATGACAGATCATAGTACACTGAGCCCGGGACTTAGGATGGTCAGGAGCCGAGAACGTGATGTGTGTTGTAGAAAAGCTCAGTGACACCCTGGGGAAGTGCCACTAGGTGCCCAGCAGGACCATCTTGTCTGAGAGTCTTCTTCCTCCAATGGCATTCACTGACTTGCTGGTCTCGTCTAAAAACTGGTTTAATATCAGCTTATCCAAACAAATAACCAGAGCCACTGAGATACACTTGTGGACTTGAGAGTTTCCAAAAAGACATACGATAACGGTTGCAATTTTCAGATGCCCTCATTATTTTATCTTAAGAAGGTAGCATGTGAAGCACACAGCTTCGAGCCCTACCTTTAGTAATCAAAACCAACTAATAAGTGCTGATAATTCGCAATCAGATCCAGAAAAGAACTGCACCACGTCCCTTATTACCCTAAACACTGCCGTTAGGAGCTGGTGGCCCTGAACTGGATGCTGTCTGTAAACATTTAAACCGTCTTCCTATCTGCTGTGACCAGCCCTAGTGCAAATGAATTTGGTTTCAAAATGTTAATTGTATATCGCCACCTAGTGGTAGTGTAGGTGAGAACACTGGCATTTTTGTAATTCAGTAGTTGTTGAACTTCTAGTAGGATCATCATTGGAGTGAAGGCAGTAATCGTTCATCATAATACTTCCTGGGGCAGAAATGACACTGAAGTTTTCCTTTTTGAATAGTTTCTTCAGTCCCTTTGCAAAAGTAAATCAAGTTCGTTTTTATTTCCAAAGTCTATAGGGTTGTTGCATTTGTGTTAGAAGTTGATCAAGTACTCGGATCTGACCTTGAGGCACATGTTCTGGCCATTACAGCAGCTGGGTTTGTATGTAGCAGACAGATTTGTTTTCTTGGCTCCAGTGTTATTCGGATACAAGTTCTGTCAGGAGGGGAAAAAAAAATACAGTTTTCTTAGCAAATGCTTTTAAGCTCTTTTGAGATGAGGGGCTGGCGATCTCCTCTGCCTCAGGCCATGTAGATTGCCCTCCCAGATGTTCCCTCCCAGGAGCTCTGTGAGCTCTGAGGAAGGCCTCTGTGTGAGTCTGTAAACTTGTTTTAAAGGCAGAGTCTTGTGTACCCTCAATGACCGTGAACTGATCCTGTCTCTACGCCCTGGTGCTGAGCTTGTGCTGAGCATGTGCCAGCTTGCTCAGCTTCTGTGAAGCTGCTTAGTACCTGAGGAGCCTTGCATTGCCTGGACACTGAGTGTATGTCATAATAGGACAAGAATCTATAGAGCATCCTTTGTAGAATCATTTTGGAAAATGATTTAGAGTAAATGTGCCAGTCATTTGTGTTACAGGCCTGCAAAGATAAATACTGAAAAACTCCTGGAATTAAAATTGTTGGATTACAAGGCACATAAGACACCTTAGACAGATTCCTCTAGAAATAGCTTACCCTCCCCCAAAAACTAAAACATAATATACATACATACATACATATCCCATACAGCCTCACCAATGCCAGTATTTTTGTAATATTAACCTTATTCAGTAGCCCAAAAATTCTATGATTGTTATTCTTTTAGTTTGTTACTAACAGGTTTGACCTTGACCACACATAAACGCTGCCGTTTGTATTTTCTTTTGAGTATAAGAAAAATTGGAGACTGGGGATGTAACCTGGGATGAGCACTTGACCATTATGCCCAAGACACTGAGTTCATCCCCAGCACTGCAACAGTAAGTGTGGAGGCCCACAAAGGTTTCCTAGTAAGATCTGTGTAGCTAGAGTTTTCTCCAGTCCTATGAAGCCCCATGGACCCCACAACTACTTATAAGATAATCACTCAGAAGCTCATATTAATTAAACTGCTCGGCCATTAGCTCAGGCCTACCATTGTCTAGCTCTTACTCTTATACTCAGCCCATTTCTGTTCATCTATATATCGCCACATGTTCCATGGCTTTACCTGCTGCCTTTGCATGCTGCTCCCTTGACAGCAGGCTGGTGTCTCCTCCCACTCCACCTTCCTGTTCTCCCAATTCTCCTCTCTGTTAGTCCCGCCTGACTACTGGCCAATCAGTGTTTTATTTATCAATCAGTCATCCACAGCAGATCTGAGCTTGCGTTTACCCAGCAGGACTGCAGTAGAGGATTGCTTGACCACATGCATGGTTACCAGGTAAATGGAAGGGTTTGCACTTGGCCAAGCTAGGGGGAGGTCTTTTGCTCCACCCCTTGGCATTCCTATAAAAAGCCCTTTAGAAGAAACAGAAGGGGCTGATGGATAAGGATCAAGGCCCTCCTGAGGCTGTCCTGTGTTTCTGTTTCTCTCACCTCTGTCCTTCTATCTAAATATTTCTCACTCCTCCCTCCTCAAGAGTACCCTAGGGAAAAAGTGGGTGCAGGCCTCCACACAAATAACATGAGGGGGCTGGAAGGATGAGAATCAAAACAACAGAACTCCTGTCTACAACTCAGACAGCCCCACTAGCATTGAGCAAAGCTTAAACAGTATTACAGTACATTACAAGAAACTTCTGTATTACAGAAACTTTTGGCCATGGTGACCCTGCCAGTTTATTTCCTATAATTGTAAAAAGGAGTAAAGAGAACATAGGACTAGCATCTATATAGTTTGCTAATTTAAGGTGCATCAATTACTTGGAACATGCCATTCTTTCAGAGTCCCCTTTTTTGTACCAAGGAGCAAGTGCTCATAAAAAAAAAAAAAATCCTTTCTACCAGAAGTGGAGAGATGAGTCAGTGGTTAAGAGCAAAGCGAGAACTCATTGTTCTTCTCATTGCTCTTACATAGGACCTGGGTTCAATTCCCAGCAATTCCCAGCATTCACATGGTGGTTCACGATCTCCAAGACTCTAGTTCCAGGGGATCCCATACCTTCTCTGACCAGTGTAAGCACTAGGCACATGTGTGGTGCACATGCATAATTCAAGTGAAACACTTATAAAATGAATAAAGCTAATTAAAATTTTTTGCTTAATTTTTAAAAACAAGAATCCTTTATACCTTTCCTGGGCCTTTGCTCCATGTCTGTCAGCTGTTTTAGTCACAAAATCATTTCATTCTGATCACAAGAACAAGTCCTTTTCAGTATAGGACCAGTGTTCCTCTTCCCTCCCAGCACAGGATAGAAGTGGTAGAAGAGGGAAGGAGAGGAGTATTTCCTTTCTCACAAATGCTCTGCCTGCCTAGCTATAGCCACTTACGTATGTACTGGTGTGTGTCTGGCCCGGTGGGAGCAGTTATCAAGGATCCGTGTGCCTGGGTTTCTTGTCTCCATCTGGGGAAATATTGGTAGCTTCCAGAGGCTGTGGCTGTAGACGACCTCACCTGTACCCTAACTCCTGACTATGTGAAAATAAAAGCCTGGGCAAGGGCCTCGTTCTACGACATGGACAAATACTTAGTAAGAAGAAGAGCACATGATAGTTTGACAGCCTGCTCTTGTAGCTCCGAGAAAGCCACGGTGTCCTCGAGACACGTGTGAAAGGATAAGGAAGGCTGCACACACACACAGGCCCACACCTCAACCTTGTCAGCTCATTCCCGAGACGGCCATCGCCTCCCACTCGTTACTGCGCTTACTGACCAGCTCGGGCTGTGGATTTTGGTAGAAAGTGTGGAGTCCCCTGTCTGTTGACTCCTGGTTACAATATTCCAAATACAACCATTCACCCCGTGTGACTTGTAATGCTCCAGACTTGTTGGAATACTTGTGTGAATTCAAGTTAGGCACACACACTAAGCTGACGATCCGAAGTTGAGTTTCCCCCCAACAACAAATAAGAGAATTTTAAAATCAGGACTCATTTGTAGAGATGAGACCTGGAATAGCAAAGTAGAAATGTCATGCTTAGTATATCATAAAATATCAGGTATCAGCCGGGCGGTGGTGGCGCACACCTTTAATCCCAGCACTCGGGAGGCAGAGGCAGGCGGATCTCTGTGAGTTCGAGGCCAGCCTGTGCTACCAAGTGAGTTCCAGGGAAGGCGCAAAGCTACACAGAGAAACCCTGTCTCGAAAAACCAAAAAAAAAAAAAAAAAAAAATCAGGTATCATTTGATTTTTCCAGAAAAGCCCTGGGTTTTTCATACTAATATTATTTTGTTAAGTTTTAACAAAAATTTCAAGTGTTTTAATAACTTAAATGGGATCACATTGAAATTCATAGACTAATTTCAAGAAAGTTGAGTTATATTTTCAAAACTCCGTGTGATTAAAAATCCTAAAGCAGCCAGCCAGTGGTGGTGCGCACCTTCAGTCCTAGCACTGGGGAGGCAGGGGCAGGTGGAGCTCTGTGAGGCCAGCCTGGTCTACAGAACAAGGTCCAGGACAGCCAGGGCTACACAGAGAAACCTGTCTCAAAAAAAAAAGGTTCGTTCTCAGAGTTGAGGCTACCTAATCTGTGGAGTCTTCCAAGCTTAGCTCCTCTGCGGTCTTCCCCTACTTCCTGGTTGCCTGGGGTACGGTTGCCCAGCTGTCCATGTTTCCTCACTGAGCCTGCTTCCGGGCTAAGCACACAGAAGTCAGAGGTAAAGTAGGGTTTACCCTTCTCCTGGAACCACAGGGCCGCTCGTCTCCGAGGAAGGTTCTCTCCCTCAGAGTTGGGGCTCCTGTGAGTTCCCGCTGCTGTTCCTTCTGCTGGAGGTATAAGATGCCTGTTGCCAGGCCACCAGACAGCCAGGGAGAGAAACAGGCCTTACCCACTCTAGTCCTTTATTACGGACCTTCCTTTCCTGTTCCACAAGCTCCTTGTGGGCGCACTGTCAGCCTGCTGCTACCCATTCTGTGTGTTTGACGGCACTGAGTTCAGGCCAAGGGAATATTGGAAGGGGAAATACACCTCCAGTCTGTTATTCCAGATTCCGCCCCACCTATCTGCTGCTATTTCCTTTTCAAAGTCTTGCTGCTACTTAACTGGAAACAGAACCCATAAGAACTTTGAGAAGCTGCGCCGAGTCCATCAGTAAGAACCTAATAAATGACTGTGTGCAACGTCTAAAGAATGAGACCGGTCTGTGTGTGCTTGATGGGGAAGGACTCTGAAGGGTGTGGCAGAACACTGCTGGGTTAAATTCATATTTATGCATACATGTATGTGTGCTTATATGTACACAAATCTAGAGACACACTCACATACAGACACAACTTGGTAGTCAAGATTGTTTCTAACAATCAGAGCTCAAGCGAGGACTTGGTGCCATTTGCATGTTATCTTGCGGCAGATCAGGCTGCGGTGATGAGTGGGATGCGCCAAACATGTCATTGAAGCCAATGGCTCTCTAAGTGTCAGTCAGTCCAGCTAAATGCGGTGGTGGCAGCCATCTCCAGCTCCTCTGATCCCCACTGCTTAAGTTATGTTTTACCACTTCCATTGAACGGGCCTCATCTTTAAACTGTGGTTTTAGGTATGTATGTGTATGGGTCGCGGTGTATATATATTTCAGCGGACCACTTTATATGCTAACGTCTGATCCCTGTAGGTTGATCATAGACACGTGTTTCTGTTCCTAGGCTCATTCACCTAAATAAGATTGATCCCCATGCACCAAATGAAATGCTCTATGGCCGCATAGGCTACATCTTTGCTCTGCTTTTTGTCAATAAGAACTTTGGAGAGGAGAAGATTCCTCAAAGCCATATTCAGCAGGTAATACAGTTTTGTGGGTTTTAGGAGTGTTTTTTAGGCATCTGTTTACATGCTCTGTCTCTCCAGTTAGCACATCCCAGGTAGAAAGACCACATGTTTTGATCTCTGTGGATCAGACACAGAGAGCCTGCAGCTTCACACTCAGTCTGCGGGAAGCCCTGTCAGGAGCAGTAGGAGTCAGCAGGCTGTCCTGCTCCATTTGGTAGTTCAGAAGCCCTTCTGGGGGAGATGGAGTGCAGATCTCATCTCTCAGATGCAGGTATCTCCTTCAGTGCCTAGAGGCTTTCTTTTAGAAGACATGTAGGTTCTTAAAAGTGCTAATAGAAAGACTTGAGGATCCTCCTGAACCGTCTTCTAGGCAGAATACATCCACACTTCTCAGAAGGGAGCTGTGTCCTTCCCAGTGCAAGATGATGTCTTACTCCCTACCAGTAATCAGTACTTCTTAACAAAAAGTTCCTTGCCTCCACCAAGAACACTTTTCGTCTAATCATCTTGTTGTTTTGCTTGGCTTTCTCTCTGTAGATTGGTGAAGCAATCTTAAATTCTGGGGAGAACCTAGCTAGAAAGAGAAAGTTCACAGCAAAGTCTCCACTGATGTATGAGTGGTACCAGGAATATTACGTGGGAGCTGCTCATGGCCTGGCGGGAATCTATTACTACCTAATGCAGGTAAGGGATGCTTGCAGTGAGACCATCAGATGATAGATACCCACACGTGTGCTGGCTTCCCTTCTGTGGTCACCATGTCACCTGACCTCAGCAAAGGTGCTGCAGCCCTGGTGCATCTTCAGGTCTGAAAGCAGAAAGACTCCATCCTGGGGATGGTGCGCGGGTTCCAGGTGAACATGTACCCACAGAGTGCCCCTGGAGCAGTATCTCAGCCGCTAATTCTATGGGAAGTGCTGTTCTCTCTCGGAAAATGCCTTGAATTACATGGATCATTCCCTGTTACTATAAAGAACAACCCAATGAAACAAATTCCAGGAGTAAAAACAAATCTATAAAAACAAATGAGCACACGCTGCCTAAGGCTCACCAAGGGAGTAAAGCCAAGAAGACTTTCCAGTAAATTTTTGTCTGACTTGCCTGAAAAGTAGCAGAATGTGCTATGCCCAGTAGTTCTTAGGTTCTGACAGTACTGGGAGGCATCAGTCAAAGTGAGAGAGACTGAAGACAAATAGAACTCGAGAGGCCAGAAAGATAACTCAGAGCGTGCCATTTTAAGGGAACATCTGGCGATTGCAAATGAGAAAATGGATTCTTCATGGCAGCAGAGGCACGTGTCTCCCTGTGACAAAGTGCAGTCACATAAAGGAAGGTGCTGCACTCCTGCATCCAGCATGCATGCATGGGTGGACACGTTACCATCTGGCTGGAAGAAGGTAAAACCAGTGGCATACCTGCCCTCAACCCATGATTGCTTTTAAATAGAGTCACAGTTTGGGAGCAGTGATTGGAGGCCAACCTGTGTTTGTTTATTTATTCATTTATTTATTTATTCATTCATTCATCCATCCATCCATCCACTCTGTTTTCCATTACAAGTTGTATAATTAGCATTTTTGACAACCAAGATTTAAATTCCCTTTTCTGGAATGCTCTCTCAGCTTCTCTTACTTCTAGAACTACATGTAGATTCTCAAAAAGCTTTCATGAAAGAAAGGTTGTGTCTTCTGACATTCCAGGTGAGTTAAAATCGTACATGTCAGTGAATGGGTGGCCTTGTTGACCTGTCATTAAATCTGATAGTCAGGAGATATCTGCCCTGCCTCTTTTTGTTAGCTCTAATAAGAAATCTGAAAACCACAGTATTGATTTTTCAATTTCCAGGCTGTTATCTGTTTGAAAAGATGAAATTTTTAGTAATGAAAATCCATTCGTGAATGTGCCTAGATAACAACATAAAATTGGACAATATTACTTCTGGGCCACGTTGGATAATTCCTGGAGAGTGACTTACTCAGCTTTTAATTCTTTCTATTGAATAATATGTTTTATGTACAGTACTGTTTTTACGTGTCTTGAAGAACACAGAATCCTGAGAACACACTACACACGTCCTTCCCAGAACCACCTCTGGACTATGTACCCCATGGCCTTGCACCCCTTGCCCCACACACCCTACCCCCAGCTGGAAGGCAGTACGTTGAATGTATCTTTTAAAGAATGAGCAAGGCATTGAATTAAGAGCAGGATCAGAAAGAGAAATGACAAAATTATATCCCAAATGACAGCCGTGTGCCCTGACTCACTGTGCCGTATAAATCTATGCCTTCTCGTAGCAGAATAATCCATGAACAAGTCATTTTCAACTGGTGTTGAGCCACGCCGCAGTTCTGCCTCGGGTCTCACGTCTCCCAGCCCCGTGCCCTTCCCCGCTGCGGATAGCACCCACCGCCTCTCTTTCGGAAAGTGGGAGCCGAGTTTGGCAGTCAGTGCATCTCTGCACTTGACGGACATCTGTTTTACTCTTGTTTGAAAGCACTGACTTAGGAAAAATACTCGTGAATGTGTCCAACAGACATTGGAAATAATACGTACAGAAGGCCTTGAGACTTAATTAACAGCTCAGTTGTAGTTTGTTCCATTATTCAAAAAATTGGAAAACAGCAATATCCAGCGGATGAAAAAATTAGAAGATGGCCGGGCGGTGGTGGCGCACGCCTTTAATCCCAGCACTCGGGAGGCAGAGGCAGGCGGATCTCTGGGAGTTCGAGGCCAGCCTGGGCTACCGAGTGAGTTCCAGGAAAAGGCGCAAAGCTACACAGAGAAACCCTCTCTCGAAAAACAAAAACAAAAAAAAAAACAAAAAAACAAAAAAAAAACAAAAAAAGAAAAAATTAGAAGATGTAAAGCCTTTTAATGACTTAGAATTTCCTATTAGTTGTGATTTTTTTTTTTCTAGTTTAAAAGTCATTTTGAGTTCTAGGAATGTCTTTTTCTTCATCAGAACTGACAATCTGTTTCTCATTTTTAGCCTAGCCTTCAGGTGAGCCAAGCAAAGTTACATGGTTTGGTGAAGCCCAGTGTCGACTTTGTCTGCCAGCTGAAGTTCCCTTCTGGCAATTTCCCTCCGTGTTTGGATGACACCAGAGACCTGCTTGTCCACTGGTGCCATGGTGCCCCTGGTGTCATCTACATGCTCATCCAGGCCTACAAGGTATCTCATGTTTTCTTACTTCACTGAAAGTAAAACACATAGCAAACGCTTCCGTAACTTAACACTATTCTCCTAATGGTTAAAGGAGTATGAACCAACTGCTAACTATAAGGTCATTGTGCTGAATGGGTGAGCATCCATCCTCCCAGTCCTTCCCACCTTAGTGGGTACCATCTCATAGCACTTCACTGGCAGAGTAACCGAGGTGATAACGGCAGTGGCAGAGCCCAGATAAATACTCCAGAAGCATGACCAAAAGCAGAATCCTTATACATTGCTGCAGGAATGTGAAATGGTACAGCTGCTGGGCAGACAGATTGCTGGTCCTTTAAAAATCAAGCACTTAACATATAACCTAGCAATTCCACTTCTAGGCTTATGCCCCCCCCCAAAAAAAATAAATGAAATAATTCAAAGAGATAGATGCACATGACTGTTGATAACGGCTCCACTCAAAAGCCAGAACGTGAATAATACCAAAACGTCAGTTATCCATCAATAGATGAATGTATAGATAAAATACAGTGTGTGTATGTGGTAGAACAGTATCCAGTCATAAAAGGGAGTGAAATATATACTATAATACTCATAACTTGGAAAAGATGCTAAACAAAATAAATAGACACCCAGAAATGCAATCAAAAGAGGAAATTACACTTATATGAAATAATGGCTAGTAGGAGGTGTCTAGAGTAGGCATATTTATGGAGACAGAAACTAGAGGATATCAGGGCCAGGAAGTAGAGAGCAGGGAAGGAGGGCCTATTGCTCGATGTGCAGTGATGAAAATAGAAGTGATATGTGCACAATCTCATGATGATAATGATGCCACTGAATTGTGTGCATAGAAAAGCAGTCGTGGTGCTGAGGAGGTGGAGACAAAGAGATGCCCAGGGATCACTGGCCAGCTAGTATTCCTAATCCTTGAGCTCCAGGGTGAGTAGGAAACCCTATCTCAAAAATACGGTGGAGAGCAACTAGAGAACACATCTGACTTGGACTTTGGCCTCCGTAGGTATCCACACACATATGCCCTCATATAACACACACATGCACACAAAAATACAATAGCTCATGGATTCTTCCCCAGTGTGTAACGACACTCTGATGGTGAAGGGTGTCATAGTTACTCAGCAGCTGTTGTGTGTTCTTTGGACAGGAATTGGTAATGAGAACAAGTGGCCAGTTCAGTACTGTGCTGCATCAGTCACACACACACAGACACACACACACACACAGACACACACACACACACACACACACACACACACACACACACACACATTTATAAAGCTTAGAAAAGAAAACACAAAAGATCAAACCCAGTTATTTTTAAAAAGCAAACCAGTTATCTTAGTTTCCTTTTCTGTCATTGTGAGAAAACAGACTAAAGAAGCTTGGAGTAGGGGAGGGTTTGTGGCTGATAGGTTAGTCTAACATGACGGGAAGCCAAGGTAGGAACCTGGAGGCAGGAACTGACGCAGACTCCATGGAGGGATGCTGTTTAATAGTTCCCTTCCCCACCATGCTCAGCCCGCTGTCTTACACAACCCGGGACTACGTGCCAGGATGGCACCACCCACAGTGAACTGGGCCCTCCCCCACCAATCAGCAGTCAAGGAAACACCCTGCAGACATGGCCACCAGCCCAGTCTGATGGGACAGTTCCCCAGTTGAGATTCCCTCTTCCTGGGTGTGCCTAGGCTTGTGTCAAGTTGACAAATAACTATGATACACATCAATGTTAAGAATTCATCATTGGCAGTACCCACATTCTGTCGCTGCGTTCCTTATCTCTTCTTGCCATACCTCCTCCTCTTCTTCCCCACCTTGCCTTTTCTTCAGAAAGGGCTGCCTGGAGGATTCTCCCTTATGCCCCAGATGATGGGACTCATGTATGTCCCCTGACCTTGCAGGTGTTCAAAGAGGAACAGTACCTCTCTGCTGCCTACCAGTGTGCTGACGTGGTCTGGCAGTATGGACTGCTGAAGAAGGGCTATGGGCTGTGCCATGGTGCTGCAGGGAATGCCTATGCCTTCCTGGCGCTCTACAACCTCACACAAGATGTAAAGTACCTGTACAGGGCCTGTAAGGTAGGTGGTGTCAGGCTGTGCGTGGGGAAGCAGCTTCTTGGGAGGTTGAAGGGGCTCAGGTCTATCCGAGTCTGTTGATTTATAATACGTCCATGAGCTTAGAGTTGACAAACATGTTCTTTAAGAAGAACCTTCAGGAACCATTCAGTTACATTAACGTTCCTCTGAAGGGTAGATTCTGCTTGGTCATTGTGGGAGTAGAAGCTGAAAGATGGAGGGGCGTTTTGTTCTTTGACACCATTGGCTGGCAGCCTGTGGCTCGCACTGCTCACTGAACTCCTCCCAAGCCAGGTACCTGCCTTCAGACAACACTTTCTCAAAAGTAACTCTTCGTCTCTGACTTGTGGTTTGGGAATTTATCCAAGTAACACAGAATTTTCACAAGTTTCTCGGGTCTCTGAAGAAATAACTACAGTCATTGAACTTGGTCTCCTTTTCAGTTTGCTGAGTGGTGCTTGGATTATGGAGAGCATGGATGCAGGACACCGGACACCCCCTACTCCCTCTTTGAAGGTATCTTTCACACGTGACTTACACCATCAACTACTACTCTGCTCAGTGATAATGTGTTTGGATTCCAGTTGAAGCAGCCAACAGGTTTTTACAGCCCATTGAACATATACTTCCTGTTTCCTCAAATGTCAGGTCAGTTAGCAAGGCCGGGGGTAGAGCCCACTTGTTAGTAGAGCGCTTGCTTAGTGTAAATGAAGCCTGAGTTCCGTCCTTCACACTGCATGGACGGCCATGTTGGCACACACCTGAAATGTCGGCTGTAATCTCAGCACTCGGGATGGAGACCGTTGAGGCAGGAGATCAGCAGTTCAAGATCATCATCAGTCATTTACCATTTGGAAACCCATATTAAAAAAAAAAAGTAAATTAGTAGGCATACTACCACCAGACTTTAATATTCATAGCTGTAATGGTGACCACCATTTATGGAGCCAGGAGCCACATGCTGAGTCATGGACACAGAGCCTCAGAGAGGTCAGTGGCCACAGTGCTCTGGTGAAGGAGGTCACACATGGCCAGGTGGTTTCAACTTGTTGGCCCCCGTTCTCTTTCCTCTCTTCCCCCTAAAAAAAAAAAAAAAAAAAAAAAAAAACAAGAGCCCCTCTAGGGGCCTCTGATGTGGAATGCATGTTATGAATTACAGGGAGCATCCCATGCCTTAGCATAATGTTAATACTAAAAAGAAAAGAAAGAACCACATTATAAAATGAAGCCATTTGGTGTAATGACTTGTACCTTTTTCTCTTCCTTTAGGGATGGCTGGAACAATATATTTCTTGACTGACCTGTTAGTCCCCACAAAGGCCAAGTTCCCTGCATTTGAACTCTGAAAGGAAAGCACGTCCCCGGCAGCATGACCCTCTCTGTATATTCCAGCCTAGGCTAAGTGCTTCCGCTGCTTTGGAAGGCGCAGAATGAAACTGTGTACTTGATGTTGTTGGGTTTTTATTTCCATCCTTTGTCTTCAGCAGTTCAGCACCTTCCTTTTATTATTTACTTTTATTTCAAAGTGTAAGTGAAAGCCATCTTAATTTTCTTCCAAAGGGAAGGATAATTGACAGGAATAGTATTTACAGACTTAAGAGGAAATCTTCCTCTTATTTAATTTTATGACTGTAATAATGTGTTAGTGCTCTTTAAAATGTTTTCTAAAAATTCAATAAGCCATGACTGGTAGCATGCTAGCCTGTCTGCTAAGAAGATGGAGGCAGGAAGATCACAAGTTCAAGGCCAACCTGAACAACTTAGTGATACCCCATTTCAGAATAAAGAGGTGAGAGAGATCTGGGGAATAGCTGAGTAGTAGAACACTTTTCTAGCATACAGGAGGCCCTAGGTTCTGTCCCCAGCACTCAGGTGTGAACACACACACACACACACACACACACACACACACACACACACACACACACACGTCAGCACAGGTGGACAGATTGTATGTAAATGGCCATCGTTGAATATTGCCTTCCATCTCTTCTGTTGAATATTTTTCCTCCAACAGAGAGTAGTTTTATGACTTGGTTTTCTCCAAGTGGTTGATTATTAAAGGGGACAAAAATATAACCCATGCTTCTGGAAGAAAAACTGTAAGAATTACAGACTAGACGTGGGACCTAAAAGTCATTTTTTAAATTTCTGGTCCCTGTCTGAACTAGAAATACCATTGTCAGTGAGCCACATGAGCACTGTATTCCAGCAATGTTATCAAAACTTAAAAATGGTTGTGATGCACATTCTGATCTGAAAGTTAATTCACCAACAACAGTTCCTTGTTTTCCGATGTATTTTGGAAATGTTTAGTTGAAAAATGTTTGGCCTTAAATGTTCCTGTGAGATCTGGAAGTAGATTTTGTGTGTAAATTTGCTGAGACAGTCTTCCAGCCTGAGCTTTGAAAGTCTGGGTTAGGTTTTCCTTGCTTTTCTGGCTGTGCTTAATGCCACAGTCGCCCCTCCCTGTGAGATGATCTGAACATTGATCTTCTCACCAGATAGGACAGAGTCTGCTTAGGCTTACAAAGCGGGTGGGGAGGGAGATGCTGTAACCAATAGCTTCTAAGAGAACAGAGCTTTTGACAAGAACTCTTGTTCTTCGGAGGCATCTGATATTATGGCCTCCATGCTGGTAACAGCTCAGTCTTTACATATCCCAAGTGCAGCCCCGTCCGAGTCTGAGAGCATGGAGTCGGGTTGCTTTATTGAGTCAGGACTCCTTAGTGCTTCTAACTCTGACCAGATGCTTTTTGACTTCTTCGCCCCCTCTTCCTCCTCATATCACAGGCCTACGCAGGCCCTTTGTAACCGACTGGGAACATTTGCCAGCTTTAATGCTACAGGGTCAGAGAATAGTTAATGGCTCTTTTGTGGCTCTCGTGGTCATGCTATTTTTATTGGAAATCGAGTCCCCATGGAGTCTGTGCTGGTTGCTGTGAGGAATAATCCCGTTATTTTCTGATTGGCACCAAAATAGCTAATACTATGTGTAATTTTCTGGCCCTTTAAAGGCTACCTACAGTAGGATCCAAAGAACAGCTCAATGCTCAGTTCCTGGGGTTGGATTGCTCCTTCTGTGGCCCCTGTACCTCAGGGACGTGTTTGACTTCACCCTCTCAAGTGCTGCTGGATGCTGTGTGCAGACTGCCTGGTGAAGGCTGCATCGATGGCGTCGGTATTTGTAAGTGAGAATCATAGACAGCAGAGGGCATCTGTTTGGCGGGCTGTCCAGCTTCAGAAAAGAAGCCCACTTGGTTTAGTTAAGTGACCTACTGTATTCTGCCTGTACTATCAGCTACTGTCCTCACTTATTAAAAGAAAAGAACCAGTATTTTGGTCCATCGAGAGTGTTGGTCACAGTACTTCCCCAGGCATCCTGACTAATGTAGCCCCAGAAAGAGTTTCGACCTTCGCCCTTGTGGGTGTCTGAGCTGCCTTCTGCATGTTACCATCCATGAACAGATCCATCGACACAAACGGTTCCGCTTCCATCTCCGCTGTAGCTTTTGAACTTACTACACTGACAGACTCTGTGCCCCTTGTAGACATGGAGTTTTCTAGGCTTTTTAAACTCAGGTACAGTCCGAAGCTCACGCCCACACCTCTCCAGCACTGTGCGGAAGCAGCGCTGTTGCTTTTGTTCCTCAGATGGTCTTCTTGGTTTAAAAACCTTCCAGAGGTTTCCGGGGAACTCAGTGGCATCGCTAATCTCCATACGGAGACTGGACGGTAAAATGTACAGAGCCTGGCAAGCAGTGTATTTATCACATTGTACATTTCCGCCCTTAACCGTCCATCATGTAAAATGTCAACATTACCATGACCAGCTCCATAGTTCCCACCAGACGTTCATTTCCTCCCATCTGTCAGTCTTTGGTCCTTAGAGTCATCTGGTTCCCTTTTCTTCACTCATGTCTCATCCATTTGTAGCTAGAGTTAGCTAAAGGGGGACCTGAGGGTACTTCTTTCCTCCTTATTCCCATTTCCCTGAGTAATTGAACTGCAGCACTCTGCTCCTATGTCCTCAGGGCAGTTTATATCTGGTTTTTTACGGTGCCCTTGCCATCCACCACCTAATTCTGAAATAAACAATGTGAGCAGGAACATTTATTTATATACTTCTTAGGCTCCTAGAAATAGGTGTGGTCCCTACTTAATCTTTCTAAATTCCAATTCCTTGTCTGCTTCCCTGAAACATGTGAGAGCGTGTTTCTGAGTTCTCTGTACCACTGGGCTGTAGGAGAACACTTTACATCCTGTCAACTGGAATCAGTCTTGGGGACATTCAGGGATCAGCCCAAGGTTCCATTGCCACTTACTGGGAAGGGCTGGGATCATATCTGTATCGACTGACTAGCCTTCAATAAAATGTTACTATTGCCTGCTGTTGTTTGCTTATGTTTGAACTTGCAAGTTATTTCTCCATAATGGTAAATCGTGGCTTTTCTTTTTCTCTATAAACCTGCTCCCTGGGATTCGTTCCTATCTTTACTTCACTGTTGTTCCACTCCTTGCTAACATCGGATTTATAGAAGGAAAATGTTATCATATCTGATCATGATACAATTAGGAAGAATCTCCAAGAGTTTGAGCCATGCGGTGCATCACCCACCTTGTGCTTATCTGAGTCTACCTGCAGTCAGTGACTGACAGCCTTCTTGTAGCAATTCTCCCTGCTCCCCGTTCTAAGGGAGCTTGAACTGAAGTCACTGAATGAGGCAGAATCCTAGGGAAAGGCGATCTGCCCAGTCACCCGGGAGACTTCCACTTCTCGTGACCCAGCAAGTCGGAAGTTTGCCAGTGTTTGTCCAAGGCATGTGTTTTCATCTCTGAGCACAAATGCTAGAATGACCTTTGTCTCTCGCCTCTGTTGACTGAATGACTCCACACCAAGGATGGGTTTGATCATTTTTCTCTCCTTCAGATGAAATGAAGGTATGCATGTTGGTGTCAAGTCTGTATGTAGATGCAGGCAGTGAGGCGTGGAGGGACAGCCCTGCAGTAGTCACCGGATTCCATAGTGACCCTGTTCTTGCTTACCTCTCCCTAGCAAACTACGCAAACCCAGTTGTCATTGTATTAAAAACAATCAAAGTTTAAGCAGTTTGGCCCTTTCCACTTGCCCATAATTTGTTTGTTCACGGTCTTCTTATTAATCCTTTGTCCCTTCCCTATTCTCTGATCACTAGACAATGGGGATTTATGTCATTTTTCTTTTCCCACAATAATCCCCACTACGGACTCGGTGCCCCAAAGGCCTCGCGTGTTCTTTATCCTTACAAGCACCATGTAAACTCACCCTATAAATCTCTCCCCGGAGAAGTTGCTGTTCCGTTGTTTCGTATCCACACTCTCCTCTCCAACGCTGTGGTCAGTTAAAGCAGGACACTGGCTCTCTTGCAGTGGAGACCACGCTGGCTCCACAGTTCCACTGTGTGAGCTGATAAACAGTCTTCCTGGAGCCTGGGTAGTGCATCCTTGGGGACATATTTTACAGTTCCGGTGGCAATGAGAGAAAGCACAGACAGTGAGCCAAAACGAGGGCTAATGAGGATAGAGAAATGGATCTTAGCAGGGCCACTTCTCATAGTCAGCCAACTTAATTTCACATCTCTACATTATGTTAACTTTCCATCAACATGCAAATTACAACCATGGTGACATTAAGTCTGCAGCTAATGTCCTGTCACTCTGCAAATAAGTGTTGGAGAAGCCTTTGTGTGGCATTTAGTGGTTATGGAGGGGAAAGACGGACTCCTTATGAATCAGTTTGTAAAGTACTATCAAAATGACCTAATTTCTCTGGTGGACCTGGATAGGAAGGAAAGTATTTGTCATCTCAAAGTGCTGATGGGGGCTCGCTGTAAGCTGGCTGTTTTCTCAGAAACTGGCATTTACCAGTTCACGTGCACTCTCACAGATCCTTTGTGCACTATTAGTACTGTCAGATTGTGTGCTACAGGCACGCCTATTCTAGCGTGCTCTGAGCAGTGCCCTGTCTTTATGGCTTGCACGCTTTGGACGCGTCTGTGTGTATGTACAGTAGGTTCTGCATGCACAAAGCAGCCCCTGTTCTGGCAACTCCATCTGAAGAACACGGGTGATTAGCCAAGCAATTGCAAAATGTTCGGATATTTGCGCTGGTGCCAACTGTTCTCTCCCTTGTGTCGTGAAGCCCGACATAAGCCCGACTCTCGTGTGCTCTATGGCTTCTTTATGGAAATGCTGCAGTTAGATGCCTTTATAGGCACGCAGCCAGCCTAGAAGCAGTTGCCATTAATCCATTTGGATAGCCCTGGTGATGGGCAGGTCGGAGGGAAAGCTGAAGACATAAAGCCACTTATTCCTTCAGATTCTCTCATTTAGTCAACTGGGAAACCCCCAGTAGTATCATTGTTAATAAGTTAGATAAGTTAATAACAAGATCAAGCAAGTCAGCATCCCAGCATGAAGGGAGAGAGAGATGGCTGCTGCAGAGAAAGAGCTTTCTTGAAGAGTTTGGGTGCCACACCCATGCATATATGGGCAGCACAAATTGGGCTATTTGAAAAAAAACAAAAACAATAGAGGAAACAGGGCAGGGGAGGGGTGGATCAGCCAGGAGTTCGGGAAGCGGTGGTTAATAGCAAAGACCATTGTACATAGGAAATTCTCAGTAAAAATATTTCAAATAAGGTTAAATTCCTTTCCTTGAACCCTGTTAAGATGCACATACTCTAGAAGTAGTTCACAGATCATCCCATGTCTTCTAGTCATTGGCTCATGGCACAAGTTGCTTTTAAACTTGAAAATGAGAAGACCACTGCTAGCATGTGCTAGTTGTAGCATCCCATGAGGACTGGGATGACATCTGCTTGCAAAAGACTTCTGAAGTGGACACATCGATGAACAAGTGATGTCAGTATGAAATGGGCCTGTGGGACCAGCCTGTAGTGAGGAGAGATAAAGTATATGAGAGTCAAGAAAACTGGTTGTACATGATAGATAAGGACATCATGGGAATAGGAAGAGGCAGGGTGCTGGGGAGGCTCTCAGGAATCCACAAGGTTGACCCCACCTTGGTCTGCTGCCATAGGGTGCCTGGACTGGTCTGTTCTAGTGACCAGCCTAGCAAATAACCTAGCAGTCATCATAGTACCTTTGTCCAGTGACTGATGGAGGCAGATACAGAGATTCATGGCCAGGCACCAGGCTGGGCTCCGGGAATCCAATTGATGAGAGAGGGGAGGGATTCTGCAGGCAAGGGGCGTCGAGATCATGATGGGAGGATGTGCAGAGATGACTGCCCACACTAGTGGAAGCCCATGAACTGTGGACTGGTGGCTGTGGAGCCCCCATGGGTCTGGACTAGGCACTCTGGATACGGAAGATGGTTGTTTGGCTCAAACTGTGGAGCACCCAGGCAGGGGGATCAGGATCTGTCCCTCCCTGGTCCATGGGCAGGCTTCTAGAACCCGATGCCTGTGCTGTGATGCCTTGTGCAGCCTTGGTGCAGTGGGAAGGGGCTTGGACCTGCCTAGGCTCAGTGTGCTGGGCTCTGCTGACTCCCCATAGGAGACCTTGATTTGGGGGATGTGGGGATGCGGGGTGGCTTGGGAAAGAGGGCTGGGGGGTGGGAGGAGGGAGGAGGGGGGATCTGTGGGTGGTATGTGGAGTGAGTAGAAAATTTCTTAATGAAAGAAAAAAAGTAAAACTGGCTGGAAAAAACAGAACCATGGCTTTGTTCAGTCCACTGTGCATGCAAATTGAAGTTGCGTAGGGATCTCTGTGAGATGCTCCTAAACGAGTTAGAAATCCATCGTGAATCCCAAGGAGAGAAAAATGAGTCAGAAGTGGGCAGCGGCAATGACAGGAATCTGGTTTCTAACTGTCATGGTCATGTAGGATGGAAGGGGAAAGTATGGTCTTATGAACAGCATATTTTGTAGTGGTGAGTTTAAGTATCACAAAAAGATAGCCAGAGCAAAGGATTAACGTGAGTCACCTGGAATCAGGAGCTCACAGCGGGAAATTAGAGTCCTCTTCACCTCATTCAGTTTATAAGGAGCCAAAATGCACCATCCTTAAATATGTTATTATTAAACACAAATCAATCACATTCTTTTCCCAAAGCCCGTGTTGCTCAGTGTATTATAAGTAGTAAATGTATACAGGTGCTGCTGGCCGCATGTCATTTGCCACAATTCTAGGGTCAGAATTTCATAAAGTGATGTGGGTTTCTGGGGTTTCAGATGCCATCCACCCAGGACTACGTAAGAACCTAAAAACAAAGCTGACATAGGAGACTTGGAAACCTAATTAGAAACGGGGGGGGGGGGGTGTGCTTTCTTTTCTCCTAAATTAAAAGCCTGATGCAAACGAATACGATCATTACTGTCCCTTATTCCTGTCCACATGAGCATGTCTCCTGGGCATTTGGCAGTAGGAACTGATCCAGGTTCGGATGACTCACAGCCAGAGGGTCACTACCAATAATAGTGGCTGCTCAGCATGCTTTGTTTTCATTTTGATAAGCCCTCATCAACGGAGTTAAAACTGGATGTGCTGTAGTGATCACCGAAGACGGTAAAATGATAAGTCCATCCCGTATTCACTTTCGGAAAGTAAGATTTTCCAGTAAACTGTTTCTGAGAATTCCAGAGTCTAAGAAGGTGGAATACAGTAGGTAAACAAAAGATGCTCCTCTCAGGAGAGAACAGAAACATGGACCCCAGCTTCAGGAGGACTTCCTGGGAAGCCGCCATTCTGCTGTTTGTCCTGACACAGTCCAGGCAGGAAGCTGGCACACACTAGATGTCTGGCGGCCACTTTAGGAAAGAGGACAAGTGGAGTGGTTTGCTATTGTAGAACCCAAGAACACACCACACATCTGGGCATGGCGGCGCACACCTGTATCCCCAGCACCAGAAGGTGGAGGACCAGGAGGCCAGTGTCATCCCCGGGTATGTAACAAATCCAAGGCCAACTCAGCATGATGTGGTATCGTGTTTCAACACAGTAGAAACGGGAACAAAACCACTTACAATGCAGAAGACAGACACCAGAGGGAGCAAGAAGATATTACAAAGTCCCGAAAAGGGAACCTGGCAAGTATGTCTAATTGAGAAATTAAAGCCACAAAGAAGTTATATTTTCCTAAACCAAGGTTTCAGAGCCCCCCTTCCCCCAGTATCTAGCTGGGTTTAACACTGAGCATATTCCCCTGTAGAAAACCGACTGTAAACACTGGGACAAAAGTGGATGCTTGCTTTCTTCTTGCTATACAATATGAGCAACATCTGCATGTTTTATTATAATTCAATACATGTATGCCATGTGTAATAATCACAGAGAAATGGGCATTTCTGTCTCTTCAACCATTCTTATGTATTGATAATTTCAT